TTCTTGGCAAGGACACTGGAGTGGTTTGCCATTTCCTTCTCCAGTGGTCCACATTTTGTCAGAACTCTCTGTCATGACCTGTCCGTCTTGGGTGGCCCTGCACGGTATAGGTCATGGCTTCACTGAGTTACACAAGCCCCTTCGCCACAACAAGACAGTGATCCATGAAGGGGAATAAATAAATACATAAAGTCAATGGGGGAAGCCAGATTTGCTTAATGACCATGTGATTCACTTAATGGTCACAGTGATTTGCTTAACGGCCATGGCAAAAAGAACATAAAACCAGGTGTGACTCATTTAATGACTGCATCGCTCAGCGATGGAAATTCCAGTCCCAATTATGGTCGAAAGTTGAGGAGTACCTGTACGTGAAATATTATTTGACAACAGAGGCGGGTGGAGTTTTAAAAGTATGTATGCATATACTGAAAATAAAAATGTAAATGAATCTGTTTCGGGATCCAAGGCCTCACTAATGGCAGAGAAAGAAGGGTAGCTGATCACATTCAAAAGCAAGCTAGAGGTATTATTGACTAGTCTCCAAGCAGCCACAGAGATGGTACCAGTACAAAGTGGGGTTTCCTTCGGATCCATGGGGCCCAAGTGACAATGTAGCAGCCACTAGAGAGACAGAGAAAGTGGCCCAGTTGAAAATTGGCAGTGGATGTGATGACTGGGGCGTAGGGAATGGGAAAACAGGGTGCAGATTGGAGAGTGGGCAGCCTGAGATGTGAGCTGGAACTGCTGGAGGCTGAGGGTGGGCTGTGCTGTGCTTTGGGAGCTTAGGAAGAACAGCAGACTTGAATCTGGTCAAGGAGGAAATGTAAATGCTGGAGGAATTGCTCGAGAGGCAGGGAGAGGAAAGGATCCCCTTCTGCCTGACAAAAAGGGGGAGGAGCCTTTCCTCAACTCTAAATAGGGCATTAGTGAGAATAGTTCCTAGGTGGATGGGCTGATGGTCTGGTTGGTGCATACGTTGGAGGGGTTGACAAGAATGTTTGGACAGGCTGTGACACCCCCTCCTTTCAGTGCTTGGTGGAGAGTGGGCTGATGACCTATATGATCTTTTTGGGGGGCAAGTCAGATTATTTAGCTGAGACTTATGAGATGGGGGGGAGGTCATATTTCCACTGTGATGGCCAGACGGAAGTATGACAGGATGTACTGAACTGGCCGCTACAGCAGGAAGTCCAGGAGGGCTGCATTTTTATTGAGATCTGCTTTGCAATGGAATTCTCTGAGCCTGGGAATGGGAATGGCCATTGGCAAAATATGACAGGAACAGACGTAGCTTCCTGCCAGACATGACAATCAGAGAGCGACACCTCCCCTGCATCAAGAGGCAGTTAGGAAGAACATCAAATGCATCAAGGAGGCCCCATCTTAATGGGAGCTAAAGAACACATACCTAGTTTCCAAGATTCTGTAACCTAACTCCTTTTTCCCTTCAATAAAAACTTGGCTAATGAGAATCTGTGGAAATCTAGCTTTCTTGGTTGTGAGCAGCTGTTGAGGGCTTCTACTCCAGGATACCTTCACTGAGCCTAGGCCTCAGGCTCCTGGTGGTAAACACCATGTCTGAACATAATAATACCTCATCCATCCATGGTTTGGTGGTGGACGAATGTGTGGACCTGGCATGTGTCGCTGAGACCTGGGTGAAGGTGGGGATGCAGCCTTGTTAGTTTCATGAATTCTCCTGTTCCGGGCCCTGCAGCAGCCCCCCACCAAGGTTGGGGAGGGGGGAGGTGAGGATCATTTCAGGAAATGTGCCACTGGGGGAGGGGTGACTGGGTGTGATCATCTTTATATGAAGCTGGGCTGCAGGAACAAGTTAGGGCTGCTCTTGGTGTACTGTTTGCCTTACTGATCAGCAGTGAGCTCCAGGATCTCATAGCAGGGCTGGTGATGGACTCTCCTAAGCTATTAGGACTGAGGAATCTCTATCTCCATGCCCTAGGAATGGGGTCTATGGCAGCTCAGGAATCCATAGCTGCTACAGTAACTCATATTCTTCTGTCAGTTAATTTCAGCCCCAACATACCCAGGCAGTTATGTTAGAACTGGAATTCAGTTCAGAGCTGATGGTGGGTGATCTGAAAATGGAGAAGGTAATGAACAGTCCCTTATTGTGGTCCGAACTCTTTCTGGTCCAGCCTCATATTTTAAGCACCCTTGACCTCTGAGAGGGTTCAGGACCATTTAGATGGTCTATCCCAGATACCTGATGGGTCCAGAGAATTTTCTGAGGGGACTTGGGGATTTCCCACCATGTGCCTGGTCAGTTTCTGGCATCAGGAGACAACTAGGGTGCTGGACAAGATTGTTTCCATGCAGCCTCTGTCCAGTTGCCAACCCCAGAGAACTTTGTGCCTTACTGAGGAGCTTTGGAAAATGAGGTGAAGAGACACCCAGAACAACAGTGGTGGAAGACCAAGAGTAAACATCGGCCTACACTGTGGTGCTTAAATCAGTGAAACATGCCTTTATCTCTTTCTCTTTTCATCCAGTGACTGTTCAGAGCTACCCAGAACCTGCTAGGGAGGGATAGGACAATATGCGCATTGGCCGCCGTGATGTGACAGGCTGCTGGCAGCTGAATATGCTTCAGTGGCTGCACTGGTTGTCAATGGGCGTTTAAGTCCAATTCAAAGACACACTTGCTGTGTGCCTGGGACACCTTAGGAATTGCCTCCTTGGGACGAATTCTGCCCATCCTACATGGCCATTTAAGGAGAGGATGCTCAGAGTCCCAACCCCTCAAGCAGGAAGGGGCTATGGTCCCAAAGGCAGATGTTTGTCCATTGTGGCCATGACTCTTGAACTCCTTGGCGCCAGATATTATTTCAATTAGGCAGGCTTTTGAGGCCTAGTGGCGATAAGGTGAAGGATGCCACGAACAAATTAAGAATTAAAAAGGCGGATGTTTCTGCAATCCACCCTACAATCAGGTGAAGGAGAGGTCAGAAATCAACTATTAACCAGTTCACAATGGTACGGCCCATCCGTTCTACAGCGGCTCTAAGGTGCAAGAGGCAGATGATCCCTTGGAAGGAGGAAAACACCTTTGCATGCTGGAAATACTATCTGCTGCTTTTGAGGCCCTGAAGAAATATATAATATTTCTGGTAGTTTTGGAAGCTTTTCATCTTGGGTGGCCTCTGAAAAGTGGCTACTTTTGAAGGGAGATCGTGAGAGTGACTAAAGGCCTTCCTCCAAAGACAAAGACAAGTACAGTGGTACCTCGGGATACGAACTTAATCCATTCCGTGACTCTGGGCATATCCCGAGTTGGTCGTAACCCGACGCAAATTTCCCCATAGGGTTCAATGTAAATCCGGTTAATCCGTTCCACCCTCCAAATTTCATCACACCCCAAAGCAAATTTTCCATAAGGTTCAATGTAATTACCGTTAATCCGTTCTGGCGTCCGCGGACCACGCGTCAGGGGTGGGAAAATGGCCGTGGACCACGTGTCAGGGCGGAAAAATGGCCGCAAAGACAAGTACAGTGGTACCTCGGGATACGAACTTAATCCATTCCGTGACTCTGGGCATATCCCGAGTTGGTCGTAACCCGACGCAAATTTCCCCATAGGGTTCAATGTAAATCCGGTTAATCCGTTCCACCCTCCAAATTTCATCACACCCCAAAGCAAATTTTCCATAAGGTTCAATGTAATTACCGTTAATCCGTTCTGGCGTCCGCGGACCACGCGTCAGGCGCAGGAAAATGGCCGGGCGCGGTGTGGCGCGGTGCGGCGGGAAAACGGCCGGGCGCGGTGTGGCGCGG